CTTTAAAATAATAATTATGAATATGCTCAAGGATTTAAAAGAAAGCATAAACAATGAACAGAAAAATACAAGGTAATAAAAAGAAATAAATAGAACTTCTAGAGATTAAAAAAAAACCCACAACAATATTTGAAAGGATCAGTGAGCTTAAAGAGTAGCAATAGAAACTATTGCGTATAGGACTTATAATTATTGATCTCCTCTCTTATGAGATAAAGAGTGGTCTTTATCTTGTAAACACTGGGAGACTGGAAAATCCCTCTCTTCCTTTCCCCATGGTTTAGTATAACTCTTTAGCCTCCTGCTCCATGTAGCTTCGGATAGCAGTAAATATCTTGATAGGGAAACTATCCCTGAATTTGAGGCCCCCCAAGTCTCCAATGTTGTCACTTTAGCACAACACGATGTCAAAAGTTCAACTGGTTTTCTGTCTGACATCACTAGCCCTTTGCCTGGATCAAGCTCTAAATACTTTGAGTAACATTGAAATGTGTAATATTTGAAATTTAGGAGTGCTTGGCACATTGTAGCACTCAAATATTAATTGAACAAATGAGTGTTTTTTTTCTGATTTTCTTAAGTGTCTTTCGAAAGTTTAACTGCTACAACAGTGAGTCAATGAATATCTGTATTCATCTAAAGATGTTTGGAAAACTGAAGGTTTTCCCTCTAATACTTCAGGAACATTTAATGTGTGCCAGACATTGTTCTAACATATATTGACTCATTTAAATACTCATAACAATCCTATGAAATTCATAGTACTAGTTTCCTCATTTTACATGTATGGAGACTAAGATACAGAGGAGGTAAGTAATTTGTCCCAAGTCAAACAACTATTATGATACTGGTAAAACACCCTATATAGTAGTTTTGGTAAAACACTACACTATATATATATTTTTTAAACCCATGGGAATCAAGACGTAAAGGGAGATTCCACATAATACTTCAAAAAGTTTTTTTTTTGTCTGTATTCTCTCTTACTTTTTTTCACCAAACATGTGGAATCCTATCAAAGATTAATTAGTCCTACTATCAATTACAACTAATTGCCACTTTGGTAGTCCTGTTGCTTTGCTTAAATAACAGCATTCATGTCACAGAAAATGAAATAATTCCAAATAATTTAATTTCAGATAAATACCTATTTTTCATATTTTTATATGAAAGTAATAACACGTATATAATAATTCATTATGTTCAACATATTACGTTTTCTGTCTGCTATGGCTGTGTCCAGGGTTGGCTTTCTAAGAAGTTGGTCACTCTGCGTTAAACTCACATGAGAAGCGTTTATAAACATCCAACTGCACGAGGTCCTACCCCTGGAGATACTGATGCAGTTGGTGTGAAACAGGAGGGTTTTGGTAGCAGCATTTTTAAAAGCCACGGCGATCCTTACTAGAAATTCTGGATGCCCGAGCGGGCGAGACCCGGCCGGGGCGGGCCTGGAAGTCACGTGGCCGAGCTGGCGCCCTTTGCGGCCGTTGATTGGCCGGGCCGGGGGCGTGGGTGCGCGAGAGGGAGGCCGCCGCTCTCAACCCGACCAGAGAGTTGCGGAGCCTCCGCGGTTCCTAGAAGGTACGTGGGCGGGGACCCTCTGCTCGGTGCGCGCTAATGGGACGAATGAGAGGCGCCGGGACCTTCCGCGTTCACGCCCTCAGGTGGGAGTTAGCTGGGCGACCGTGAGCGGATTCCCGGTTCGTCTCGGCCTTTCGACAGGGGAGCCCAGCCCCCATGGCCGCTGCAGGTGGGCACTGAGAACTTCCTGGAGGAGGCGGCGCCGCGGAGAGTCGGAGGCGCGGAGCAGGTTTGGGAAGAAAGGAGCTAGTCTGATGGGCTGGGCGGGGCAGGTGTCAGGACTCGAGAGACCCCTGGGCCTTCAGGGGAAGTTGCATTGATGGAGAGTCTTCCTGAAGACGCCAGCTTTGGATATTTTCCGCTGTGTCAGGTCTTTGGCATTCGGAAGAGCAGAGTCGGATCAATGAATGGTCGATTGATCCTGTTTGGTTTGGTTTGGTTACGGGGGAAAACGAGATGCGATTAAAAGTTTAAGGGGTTCCCATTATTGTTGTTAAAAAACAAATTCAACTGAGTAAATCTTAAAGATTTTCTCGGCTTTGTTCAACGATTCATGAATGGGCAGCATCCCATGTAGCGGATGGAAAGGAGCCCCCGAGGAGTTATGCAAAGTCCAAGACTTACAGACAGAAGGGAGCGGGTCGAGGAAGTTACACTAGCAAAAAGCGGATTGGTTGTGGCAAGGTTACCTGCCGTTAGGGGCTGGCAGGAGTCTCTCAGGCAGATGACCTCACTAGTGCTGACCAGGTAGTTCTAGAGGGACTAGTTTAAGATTTCACTCCTGGGAGAGGCCGAAAGTGTAATTAGGTGAAGTATACAGTTTCCTGGTGTGGTGACTGGGGCTTAGCATGAGTGACTCCACGTGGGGTCTGGTGCCTTGTTTTTACCCTTGCGAGATGGCATTTTAGAGTCTGACTTCCAAACGCAAAGCGTTCACAATAGATAATATAGTTTACGTAGTGAAAGGGATGAGGCCCCTCCCCAGCCGGGGAGCCATTGATCAGGACATTTTCTGGGGTCCCTCCCTGCTAAAGAGGGTTTCCCAAACAGTGTTTTTAGGGAACGTGAACAGTGTGTGAGGGACTTTCTTAAAAATGCAATTACATAAACCAAGGTTCACTGGTGGCCAGAAAAGTACAAGGAAAAAAAGAAAAGAAAATCCTCTGTATTCCATCACTGTGCTTCCTGAGAGTAACAATATTGAATTTATAGTGTTAAAGGAAAACCAAAATTGAGACCACAGTTTGGGAATACTCCTAGGGCAACCACCCATCGCCAGGGAACTGAAACCTAAACTGTCCTAATTTCCCCCAAATGCTGACTCTATCTATTGTTAAAGGAAACTTAAGCTTTCTTGACATCAGGGTGACCTTGCATCTTCCTAGCCAATCAGCTACAGACAAGTAAACTTGTACAGTGCTGCTCTTCTCGAAGGATTGCAAGCATCTAGTAACCAGTCACAGTAGAAAACGATGTACTTCCTCTTACGTGCAGGGGAAGAAAAATAATTTTCTCTCTACCCTTCTGAATTCTTAGCTGAGACCCCTGCAATAAAAGATTAAAGAAAAACAGAAGTTTATTAGCTTGTATGCCTCATGCATGCGTGGGCGATACAGAGGTGGGGAAAGGAGTAACTCCTGAAGTGGCTTAGAATTCAGACCTAAATACCGTGTTAATAGGGAAAGGGGAGTGGGGATCTTGGAGGAGAGTAAATGATTCTTAGGAAAGAAGAATGGACCCTAGAAGAATAGATGGGAGGTCTGATGGCTTGTGACAGTTTGTCTGGGTGTGGTGTCGACTTCTATTCTCTCCTGCGATGAGTCAATCTTCCCTGGTTGATGAAACTCCCAGGGAAGTGATTTATGATAATTGAGTTCCTTTTGGAGGATCTGTTTTTAGGCAAATAAGGGGAGTTCAGAATGTCAATAAAAATATCTACAATCCAAGAATTTAGTTAGGAAAACGTTGTTGCTCATATAGTTTGCAAACCGGGGAGATGCAGCCTCCAGAACAAATCAAAAGTACCCTCCAGGGAGGGCGTGCGAGGGCAGAGCTTATAAAGGCAAGACCACAGAGCCCAGGGATTGTGTTGAAAGGCCTCTGATTCTTTGGTTCCCCTCTGGATACTAGTGTTCTAAAATCAGCTGTGTCAGGCTTCTGGCCTTCTGTCAGGAAGGAGCGCTGGGTTTCAGATAGGATTTGTGGTTTTTCTGAGAACAGAGTATGTGGCTGCACCTCAGTCCTGGCGTGGCTGCTTGACTGTTTTCTTTTAGGGCCTGGTTAGCCACGCAGAGTCCATTGTGTCTTCCTCTTTTAGGGGTCCTTCTTAATTCCATGAGAGAAAGCCTCTCTGTATTTGCGGTTTTTCAAGTGCCTGCAGCTCAAAATAACCGATATTCCACAGCCGATTATTTTGGGATGGCGTGTCCCTAGCTCCTACAGTCGTATTTTGGGGTGGCATGTTCTGCTACCCCTCACATGCTTTATACACTGAGCTGAACTGCTGAGAGCCCACCTTCGAACACTTTCAGTTTTGAAGTCTCCTCCTTTACAGTTTGTTTCTCCATTGATAAAACATTCATATCAGGTAAAGCTCTCTGAATTTTCTTTAGACAGTGAGTACCTCTCTGTATATAATATATAGCCTGAAATCTTTGATAACGGCCCTAAAATCATTTTTACCCTCTGAGCTGATTATGTATGATGTAGAAACAAAGGAGGACCACCCCAGTGACCACCCCAAGCAAAGACTTCATTCAGAGCCTGCTCTAGCAAAGGAGTTGGCCGCCATCGCTTGTGTTTGGCAGAGACTCAAAGGCAGGCAAAGGAGAATTTTAGAGTGGGGAGAAAGGGGAAAGCTCAGATATGCCCAGTCTAGAGGTTGTTGGCTTGGGAAAGCTGGAGGCAGGTTAGATAGATGGTAGCGGACATCCTATAGGTAGGGGAGCATATTTGACTTTCTCTGTTGGTCTTAAATCGGAGTAGGGGGAGCATATTAGAGATAAGCTGGAAGTTATTGAGCAGGTCCTGATTTGGGGGCTGTTGCTGCGTTGGTTGTGGTTTGGGCTCTGGGCTGGTTGCTGCACATTGTGGGTCAGAGTTCTATTTTTATCTACGCTCTGGTCCTTTTGTGTGTTCCGTCTCTCAGTGTGGTCCTGCAGAACATAATCTAGGGAGAAGCGGAGGGCAGAGCCACAGGTTCACTTGAATAAAGCTTTGGAAATTGAGCTAGCTTCAAAAATTCCTAAAAAGACTATGCTAGTGGCTCCTTTCATTTTATCACATTTCCCAACACCAAACACAGTGACTGTATTAGCTGAAATTTGTCGAGCCCATTGGAATTCCCTGTCCCAGGGCTGCCTAGTGAGAGAGCTTCAATGTCAGGCTGGCCTTACTCATTCTTTTTTCTCCTTCAGCCTAGCCTGATGGCTGGGATCCTGCCCCACCTCGGAGACCAGGCCATGGAAGCTGTGTTCCTGACAGCCCGGTGGAAGGTGAGCTGTGGGTCCTCCTCCGCTTCCTCAGTATAGTCCTTGTGGCAGGTTGTCACCTGTGCTTCTGACCAACTGGCTATAAACTGGATTTTCACATCCCCCTCCTTGGTTTCCATTGATTTGCTAGAGTGGCTCACACAACTCAGAAAAACAGTTTATTTACTAGATTACTGGTTTATTATAAAAGAATATACTCAGGAACAGCCAGATAGGAGAGATGCACAGGACAAGGTTTGTGGGAAGAGGTGCAGAGTTTCCATGCTCTCTCCAGGCATGCCCTGCCTCCCAGTACCTCCCCCTGTTTTGGGGTTTTTATGGAGGTTCGTTACAGAGGCGTGATTGATGGAATCATTCAAACTCCAGCTCCTTTCTCCTCCCCAAAGGTGTTGGAGCGGGGATGAAAGATCTAATCACATGGGTGGTCCCCTGGCAACCAGCCCCCATCCTTAGGAGCTTTCCAGAGGTCACATCATTAACATGAACTTAGGTGTGGTTGAAAGGGAGTTGTTATGAGTCACGAGACATTCTTTTCACTTACATGGCTCTGGAGCTATTTTGGAAACCTGGGTCAAAAGACCGAAAGGATGCTCCTTTGTTCTTATGCCTTAGGAAATTCTAAGGGTTTTAGGAGCTCTGTGCCAGAAACAGGAATAAAGACCAAATATATATTTCTTATTGTAAATCACAGTATCACAAGGGAAAAGAGGGTAAAGGTATCGAAAAGGAAGAGTCATCGTCTTTAGATTGAGACCCTGGAGGAGACGTGAGAGAATGGAATCAAAGGCAGAGGAGGAGGGATTTCTAGAAGGGCAACCACTTCCTCTGAGGGAGAAGAGAGGAGGATGAGAGAAAATGTGGGTAATGTCTAGGGAAGATAGTGGGAGTGTGAGAGGAGTTAAAGACCACGTGCCCTGTGGCTCTTTTCTGGGACGTAACTGGGCAGTGCACCCTGAAAGAGAGGGGGTGAGGGTGAGCAACATGTCCTCACAGCCCCCTCTAGTTACCTCCCACGGGATCATTGACCTCTGAATCATTACCAACTTGACTTCTCCATCTTCCACCGTGGGCCATTCACTCCCTAGAGCAGAGATCAAGGCTGCTAGGCCGTTGTACAGGTTGTGCACTTAGCAACTGTAGGGGGGCACATTCACACAACTGTAATGTGAATGGTGTCCTCGAGACGTGAGCAGTGCACAGCCTGAATAACTATATCCTGTGGCCTCTGCAGGAGCTGTAAGCTTTATTCATTTTTATACTGGCATATAGCATGAAGGCTAGCAACTTATCAGTGCTCAGTAAGTGTTTCATGAAGGAACAAGAGTGATAAGGGTGTAGAGTACCACTGGTGAGAAATATGAGAGCCAGAATTGTTGAGCAACGTTAAGGGCCCAACTATAAACCTAAATGTACAGAGAGAACTTGATGGGAGATGGAACCATGTTATGCCCTAGCGATTGTTAACCTTCACGTAGCTGCTGAGAATGCAAACACTGAGTTGGGGTCAGGCTGAGGAGACCTGCAGGGCAGCTGTGGTAAAGGAGGGCCATTCGGGATGGTGGAAGAGAGGGCTTGAAACCGTAACCCTGGAAGTCAGCTTTCGTGCGGAGGAAAGAAAGATAATTTGAGAGATTCTGTTGTCTGTCTTCAGAGCGGAGCTAGCTACGTGAAGTTTCTCAGATGGGGTGCCTATTTCCTTTTAATGATCGCTCCTTCCCTACACAAACACCCTGTGAACCCACACAATGTCTCGTAAGAGGAGGGGGGCGGGGGGCGCAGACATGGCCTCTCTGCTCCAAGAGCTGCAAGAGTGTGTGAGTGGGGCACCTTCTGTTCCCAGCCCACAGGGGCTGAACACACAATTGCAGATGGAAATTTCTACCATGTACATTGTGCTAAAGAATCTCTGTTTGCCCCCTCTGGATCTCTCTCCACTCATCCCTCCTTTGGTCTGTGCCCTGGGAAGCTGCCCTTTATATTTACCATCAATGGGCTCCCTTGCCCTCTGGCTCCTGATTGGCTTTTGGAAATGGAATGGAGGGGGTCAGGGGACCAGAGGCCTGGAGGAAATTGATGTTGGGTGTTTATTCCTACAGCTCCCTCCCTGCTGGGCTGCAGGATGATAGTGGCCGCATTCCTCTAAGGCCCCGGCCTCCAGTCTTGCTCCCTCTCCAACAGCTGTCTGGATTCCAACAACCACTCTCCTACCTTCCCCTTCAGAGCTCGTGGGTAATGGTTCCCCATGATAGCCAGTCCCTGTGTGCTTCAGCATGCCTTCTTGGTTTCCTTTAAGCCTGTCCATTCCTTTGTGAATAGTCTGCTCACTAACCTATCCTCAGTAACCTCATTTGAGTGTGCCATCTTTTTCCTAAGGGAACCTGGAGCCGAAGAAATATATTATTTGTCAAAGGTAGTATTGTATAGAGCAAACTGACCTGGAACTGTTAGTAACATTTTATTGGCACACAGCCACGCCCATTCGCTTTCTGTTGTCTGTGGCTGCATTTGGGCTGTAGCAGCAGAGCAGAATAATTTCAGCAGAGACCAAACGGCTCGAGAAACCTAAAATATTTACCATCTGGCCCTCTAGAGAAAAAGTTTGTTGACTGTAGTATAGAAGAAAGAAGGAGCATGGCCTGACGGTCAGAAGACTTGAGTTGAGCCCTGAATCTACTTAATAATTGAATGAGCTCGGCCAAGTCACTTCACGTCATCAAATAGAATATTGTAGAATGATAATAATAGTTCACAAAGTTATTGTAAGAATGGAAGCTGTAATTAGTCACTTTGTTTTTAGGAGTTGCTGTCCTTTGAGGATGTGGCTCTGTTCTTCACCAGAGAAGAGTGGAACCAACTCGACTGGGCTCAAAAGGACCTCTACAGAGATGTGATGCTGGAGAATTACAGAAACCTCATCTTGCTGGGTAAGGACTCGACTTGAAGATTTGGCTTTGAGTTCTCTGAGTGTCTGCACGAGTCCTCAGTCTCTCACCTGCAATTCCAAAATCAGAAAAAGCTCTGAAAACCAGAAGTTTTTTCATAACTCATTTGGCTACAAGACCCAACTGGAAGTCATCAGGTGGTAAAACCTGATTTCATCCTACAGGAAGCTATTTGTCATCCTTATTTTTCCCGCTTGGTCTTTGTATCTATATATTTAGCGTCAGAAATATGAGTGTGGTTGATTAAGTACAGTTCCAAACCCTGTGGGGGTGGGACGTGATAGAAAATATACACACCAAGTCACCTTTGTAAGATTTGGGAAAATTCCTGAATCCTGAAACACATCTGGTCTCAAGGTTTTCAAATAAGGGATCGTGGACAATGAGTAGTTTCCTTTTGTTTTAGAAGTCAGGGCTGCTTAATCTGTGTCCCCCCGTGCCCCTGCATCCTCCCGTCTATAAGGCCTCTAGGAGGTGAAAAGATTATGGCTGATTTGGATTCCAAAGGCTAGCTTCTTTTTCTCTTGAAAAGTCTTTTTCTTTCTTCTCTTTGGAATTGGGTTCCTTCCTTGTTTGCGACATCACTGGGCACCCAGAAAATGCTTCTTAACTGACTTCATTTCCGACCCTTCACTGCTTCCATCTGCCCAGGAGCCTGCTTTTGTCTTGTTCCAATGCAGAGTCTCCTACTGTGGGAGTTTCCTCAATAAATAGTTTTCTTTCTGGGGCCACAGTTTGACTTCCCCACTGACACTCTTGGCATAGCGTCTTGACTACCTCTTGTGTGATTGTCCACCCACCTCTGGATTTTTTAATGTGTATTTTCCTTTTAAAAGCATTACAAGAGCATACTTTGAAATCATGGAAGGTATAGGAAAGTATGAGGCCCGGGGAAAACATTCAGGGCTAACACTATTTGGGAAGATTTCCTTCCGGTTTTTTTCCCCCCTATGCTTGTAAAAAATGTAGCTGAGCGTATTCTTTGTATAATTCTATAAACCCTTAAAACTTAACATTATAGCATCAGCATTTTCCCTCTGTTATTAAAAGCCCCCACAAATATAGTAAATGATCATAATATAAGTCTACTGTATGATCCATAATATTTCATTTTCCCATTGGGGGTGTTCAGCTTGGCTTTTTGTTTGCTAATTTCCTCATGTGTTTATCATTTTCTGTATTATGATGTTCCAATGGATGTTTCTGACTATAAGTCCTTGTATCAATTTCTGATTATTCCCCAAGATATATTCCCAGAAGTGGAATTTTGGAGTTAAATAGTATGGCGCTTTTAAATCTCTTAATATATATCACCGAATGATTTTTCAATGATAGAGTAGAAAATAAAAATCATCGACATGCCCACTGCCCAGATATAACCCATGTTCAGATTTTGGTGTACTTTTCCCTCATCTTTTCATATACATGTACACTTATATACATATACACACACATATATAGTTTTTAAAAATAAAATTTGGATCATACTTTACATGAGTTTTGTAGTCTGCTTTAAAATATATAGGGAGTTTTTTTATTTTAATAAATATTCTTTGAACACGTGGATTTTTATCTGCCTAATACTTTTTGCCCCTCGTGTTAAAATGTTACACTTTAATGATTCCCCTGTTGACATTTAGTTTATTTTATTTCCAGTTTTGCTCTGTTATAACTCTGCTGAACATCTCTGGTAGATTAATCTTTGTCCTAATTTTTCCTTACACTGTATAGGTCTTCCTCGACTTATGATGGGTTTACATCCTGATAAACCCCTTGTAATTTGAAAATATCATAAGTTGAAAATGCATTTAATACACCTAAGCTACTGAACGTCATGGCTTAGCCTGGCCTCCCTTAAACGTGCTCAGAACCCCTACATTAGCCTACAGTTGGGCAAAATCATCTAAAGCAAAGTCTGTTTTATAATAAAGTGTTGAATATCTCATGTAGTTTATTGAAAAGTGTGCTGAAATTGACAAACAGAGTGGTTGTCGGGGTACAGAATGTTATAAGTGTATTGGTTGTTTGACCTCATGATCACATGGCTGACTGGGAGCTGCGGTTCACGAGAGAGTGTCATACTGCATATCGCTAACCCGGGAAAAGATGGAAATTCAAAATTTGAAGTACAGTTTATATTGAATACATATCGCTTAAAGTCAAAAAAACTGTAAGTCAGGGACCGTCTGTATTTGTAGGAGTGAAATCACCACATCCTAGGCTGTGGCTGTTGTTCAGGCTGTCAGTAAAGATTGCCAGATTTTCACAAAGACTGTGCCGATTTCTGTTCTCACCAGCCCTTTTGATTAGTCTCCTTATCTTTGCTGCCATTGTCAACCCGGAGGGGTCCAGCTGAGCTCTAGGACATCTCTCTGTAACTCACTAACCACCACATCCCATTTACTTCCCCGTGAGTAGGATTTCAGTTTCCCAAACCTGAGGTGATCTGTCAGCTGGAGCAGTGGGAAGAGCCGTGGATCCTGGATCTGCCAAGAGCTGGGACTAGGAAGGCTTCCGGTAGTGCTTGCCCAGGTGGGTGAGGAGAAGACCCGGTCCAGTGGAAATCTTGCAGCGGAAGGGAAGGAACGTTAATGAAGCCCCTTCTGTGTCCCCGATGCTGAGCCAGGTGTTTGGCATATGTTCTCCCACTTGTTCGTCCCTACTGCCCTCTGATGGCGGTAGGTGTGACCATCACCCCATTTTCCAGATAGAGAAACTGAAAGATTAAGATATCTGTTACACAGTCAGTGGATTGCGAGTTGGGAATTAATTTCAAGTCTGCAAAGCTCCTCCTCTTTCTAGTGCAGTAAAGTGCTTCTCTGAGGCAGCTGGTCTGGTCTTTCCTGACAGCTCTTATGCCATCCTAGATACTCCTTTATTCTACCCTCATTTCTTATCTTTTCTCTTGTTCCCTTGCTTTCGTTTTGTTTTTCATATTCCCTCGGTGTTTCTTGATATACCTACTTCTAACTACTTGCTGTGACCTGATTGCTGCTTCTACCCTTTTTCACATCCCTCTACCCTGTGGTTTCTCAACCTCGGCACTGTTGACATTTGGGGCTGGAAGATTCTTTGTTGTGGGGGAGCTGTCCTGTGCATTGTAGGATGTTTAGCAGCATCCCTGGCCTCTACCCATTAGATTCCAGTAGCACCGCCCCAGTTGTGACAACCAAAAATGTCTCCAGACGTTGTCAAATATCCCCCAGGAGGCAACACCACCATTGGTTGAGAACCATTGCTCTGTTCCATTGGCTTTTGTACCTCCCACTCTAGTTCCTTTTCGATTCTATCTTATACTTTCTCCATTTTTAAGGAGTTGTTTCCTCCAGAATTATTAAAAACATACTTATCTAGAAAGTATAAAATGCTGCTTTTTTAAATATTTCCTATTTCCCCTGTATTTATGTGACACTACTGAGTGCCTAGAGTAAGTTGTTTTTCCTTTGATGGTGATGGGTTTGCTCAGTCGTTGCCTTCTCTGATACAGGTTCTTGTGCATGTTTTAGTTGGTTAGTTGATGTCCAGAGCTCTTTCTGTTAGGAGAGCCAAGAGTCCTGTGAAAATAAGAATTTTGGCCACTTCAGTATGATGATGTCACTAGGGGAACACTTCTTAGCTTCATTTGAGTGTCTGATATCACAAATAGTTGGCTTCTCTTCCTTTTTTCGTTCTGTGGTGGACAGGTCATTTATGTATATTTTTTTTATTTGGCTAGGTTCTGAAGCCAGATACAAGATGAAAAAGCTACCTCGAAAGCAGAAAATGTCTGAAGATTTAGAATCACGTAAGATATCAGTGGTAAAGCCGAAACCGGCCAAAATACCTTCAGAAAAATTACATAAATGTAATGAATTTGTGGACGTTTACAGACTTGCACTCCCTACTGTTGGTGGTAAACGCAGTAAGGACTTCCTTCAAAACCTTAACCTTATCCAAGGTCAGAATGCTCAAACAAGAAGGAAGTGGGGCAAATGTGATGAATATGGAAAACGCTTCCATCACAGATCATTGCTTTGGAGGCACAATCAGATTCTTACAAATGCGAAATCTTATGAATGTAGTGACTGTGGAAGAGTCTTCAGGCGTCAGGCCAATTTTGTTCGACATCAAAGAATGCACACTTCAGACTATCCCTTTGAGTGTGACGTGTGTGGGCAGGCCTTCAAACAGAAGTCTGCACTCAGTGTCCATAAACAGTGTCATTCTCAACAAAAGCCGTATAAATGTCATGACTGTGGAAAATTTTTCCGTCAGATGGCATATCTTGTTGAACACAAGAGAATCCACACCAAAGAAAAACCCTACAAATGTAGTGAATGTGAAAGAACGTTTAGTCAGAATTCAACCCTTATTCGACATCAGTTGATCCATAGTGGAGAAAAGCCCCATAAATGCCTTGAATGTGGAAAAGCCTTTGGTCGCCATTCAACCCTCATGAGCCATCAACAGATTCACACTAAACACAACACTCATAAGTGCCGTGAATGTGGAGAATCCTTTGGCCGGAACGTAGATCTCATTCAGCATCAAAGAATCCATACCAAGGAGGAATTCTTTGAATGTAGAGAATGTGGGAAAACTTTTAGTTTTAAGGCAAACCTTCATCGACACGAGGTCATTCATACTGGAGAGAGACCCTATAGATGCGATAGGTGCGGGAAATCTTTCAGTTGGCGCACAAGCTTTATTAAGCATCAGAGTACTCACAGAGAGCAGATATCTACTTGATATTAGCTGGAAAAGCTACCATTTAAAGACCAGAACTTAAACTTTTTGCAAGTATTTGTAACTCCATTGTTTTAAGAAAATAAACAGCAACTGACACGGGTTCTGTGGGGACCCTCTTTTTGTAGCTAACCTTGCTGTGGTCCGGAAGCACTTAATAGAAAATGTAATAGGCTGTTGTGTTCAGTCTCCCTTGAGCCCCCTATACATACCTTTGTTCCCCTAAGTCAGGTTAAGGCAGAAGGGAGGCGTAGAAGCTTTGCTCTGTGGTCCCCCAGGCTGGAGACCATGTGATGGATCGTGAACAATTTAATGCTTTATTTGGTTTCATATAGAAAAATGATGTGATACTTTGTAGACATTTTAAAAATAGAGTAAGGGCTACTCACTAGTAACTGGTGAGATATAAAGAATTACTAAAATTGGGGCCGACTCCCTGGTGTAGTAGTTAAATTTGGGGTGCTCCCCTTCAGCAACCTGGGTTCACAGATTTGGATCCCAGACGCAGACCTGCTCCACTCATCAGCCAAGCTGTGGCGGTGACCCACAAACAAAATAGAGGAAGACTGGCACTGATGTTAGCTCAGGGCTAATCTTCCTCAAGCAGTAAAAGAGGAAGGTTGGCAATGGATGTTAGATTGGGGTGAGTCTTCCTCAGATAAAAAAAAAAAAGAAAGAAAGTAAACTTTATAAACTAAAGTTAGTGTGCTACTACATCCTCCTGAGAGTTCGAAGCCAGTGCTTGCAGCAGATGCCATTGGTGCCCGGCCCCACCCCTCCAGCCTTACCCCTTCTGCATGCTTCATCTGACTTGCACTGTCTGTTTTTCTTGGCCTGTAGGCTTTTTCTAAAACCATGGAAGGCCACTGCTCTGGGCTGACTAGCATATCCTGGGAGCAGGCCTCAACCCATGCTTGATGAGAAATTGATAAATACCAGATCTGCCTCCCCCCTTGGGTGAAACATCTCTGAAGCATGGGTTTTACACTGCTTCCGAGTTTTCCCATGGGATTATGCCCATTCACTCACAATGGTCGCTGCTTTGTTAGCTGTCTTCCCTTCTGTGTATCTGTTGTACACTCCCCTGCCAGTGTTTCAACACCTCTCCCCACAAATAAATTGCTTGTACAAAAAGTGTTGACTGTAGTCCTTGAGGAGCCACATCCCTTCTGTTTCCATAGTTAGTCCAAGCACATTCCTAGGTTCAGGTTAAACAGGTTGAGCTGACTGTATTTCTCTTACCTATAGCTCACCAATACAAGAAACCCATTTGAAATTCTAATATCCTAATCATCAGCCTAGGTCTCCATTAAAAGTTGCTGCTATTTAGACCCTCTCTTATTATTCAAACCCCCTCTAGTTTCTTCTTGATTTTATTATTTTCTTGCTCCTACCAATTCTGTGACTTCCTGCCCAGCATACAGAAACAAAAAAGTTCTACTGAGAATGAGAAGAAAGCAAGTGGCACCCCATAAAACTGAGAAATCTTAAGTCTTGCAGAAGGAAAATAATTAGTATTAGATTTTATGTTGGGTTCAAAAATACCTGATCAGCATCCTTGTACTGGTCATCATGAATTGGCTAGAAGAAAGGGTTGCCAAATTGTATTTTCCTAAGCAAAATTAAGAAGTTGAGACTTCTGACTGATGAGGAAATAAGTGAATGAGAGATATGTACCCCTTAAAACAACCTTGGGAGATGGAGACCTGTGAAAAGCAGATCCAGGCTTGAGTACACAGAAGTCTGATCCAGGTTATTAAATCTGTTCTGTTCGGATAATGCACAAGCTTCCAGCTTTCCAGAAAGAAAGAGCACAACTAAAGAATCCAGGGATAACATGAAACATACCTGCCATCAGCCACATCCGTCCCAAGGGAAAGAAAAGAGCTAGGTTATTCAGTATGGTAGCCACTAGCCATATGAGGCTATTTAAACTGAAAAAAACAAAACCGAAACAAAATGAAGTTCCTCAGTCAAAAGCCACATTTCAAGGTCAGTGCCAATACAGAACATCCCCATCATCACGGGAAGGTTTTTTGGACAGCACTGGTAGACAGACCCTAAGGACTTCGTAGGGAGAAACAGGGAGCTTACACTTGGTTCCACTTCCGTCTCTATTTACAACTAAATTAAATGGGCTTCTTTCCCCTTTATAAATGACCCTTATAAAATGTTGGATTTGCTGAATATATTTTTTTCAGTAGAATTCTTGGGACACGAGGGAGGGATGGGGCTAGTCTGGAAGCATTGCTGAACTAGCTTGCTTTGGGAGAAAGGAGCCCCCACCTCAAGGGAGTGAGCTCAGGTTAGGCTTCCTGCCCGCTCCAAGAGGCTAGATAGTCGCTAGGCCAAGAGCACCAATTAGCAACGTCAATGACAGTACGTGGTCATGTTAACATTTAGCACTACAGCAAGAGCTCCAACCAGCCCTCCATAGAAGATAACAGGGAGGAAATGCTCAAGTTTTGGCTTTCCTCTTTGGCTAATGGGCTGGACCCATTGTGCTCCATGACTGGGTAGACTGACCAACCATCAGCTCAACTGGTAAAGGTCAGGAGAGTCTGGCATTAACAGTCTAGAATATTCCACTGGACTAGAAAAGGCACATCTTTTCTTGACAAGACCAGTGAAACTTTATTCACCACATTTAAATCAAAGAGAAAAATAAATAATACAAATATAACTTGCCTACTTTAGCTAATAATGCTAAAGTATAAATTAAAAAACAGGCTGTTAAAATTTAAATGAGTGAAAATAAGATAAAAAATTGATAAATGCTTTCATTTTCTCTTGTTTTTCACAAACTTGGGTTGCAGTTGCCTAAGATGTCGCATAACGTGATCATCTGCGTGACTAGTATGCAGCTCACACCATCCAAATTTTGACAACACCTGTATGGGTCTGGACCTTGTTCAAGTTCATTCTCAGCTGTAGTTTTCATCAAGGTGGGTTCTCCATTTGTCAACATTTCTTAGCTAGTGGAAATGAACAAGAGGGGAAATTGGGTGCAAGCAAGTATAAAGCAAAAACACTACTTGAAGTTCTAAAGTGAATTTTAAAGTAGAAATGGATGACTTACTGGCAAAATTATGTTTCAGGTAAGTTCTTTGATTTTTTAAATTAAATTGGTGGCTAATTATCTGTGTCGCCGTGGTAAAGGGATGGTTTTCCCACTTGGATTTCAAAGTGCATACTGCTAATATATGTGAATCAGTACTGATGTCGTTATTCTGAAGTAATTTCCAATTTACAGCAAGTTACAAAAGTAATACAGGAAACTCTACACCGTCTACCCAGATGCACCACATTTAACATTTTGCCACCTCTCTGTCGGATTACTTTATAGCGGTTTGGATAAACTGGATCTATATGCATAAACATAAATCAATCTAAAAATGGGAAATCTGATTCCAAGATGACATTTGGAGTATAATATGCTCTGCATAAAATTTAAAACCTGCAACAGGACATGTATTGTTTATGGATGCAAGACCTTGTCAGTAAAGTATAAAATGGAGAAAAGAAGGATACATAATTTCAGGGTTGTTATTCCTTCTGATGGGAGAGAGAAAGGAGGGCGATTAGAGAACGCGCATGAGGGTCCTTAACAGCACGTAATGTTTTATTTCTTTAAAAAGGATCTGAAACAAACACGGCATGTTAAGAATTGATAAATCTGTATGGTGCAAACATGAATGTTCTTTCAAATCTTTCTCTATTTTCTCTACTTGTCTGTATGTTAGCAATATTTCAGAATAAACTTGTTCATGCTTATTGTGAAATAGTATAATTCAAATGTATATGAAGATATGTGACAGTGAATAATAATAATAAAAAGAACACCCATGCATCCTCATCCTCGTTCAGAATCACAAAAACCCCTAAATCCTCTCCAACCTCATCTCCTTAATTCTTCAGCAAAGGTTAACGAATACTGAGTTTTATGTTAATCATTCCATTGAATTATCTATACATACCACCTATCTGTTTATGTCTTGACAATATATTACTTAGTTTCGCTTTTTCTGGAATTTTACAAACATGGAGTCATACTCTTGTTCTTTCATTGCACCTGTGATTTGAGACTCATCCATATTTCTGTGTAGCTGTGGTTCAGTCATATTCACCGACACTGAGAATTCCATGGCAGGAGTGTGCCACACTTGATGAATCTGTTCTTTTGTTGATGGGCTTTTGGGATGTTTCCAGTTTGGGGCTATTATAAAACATGTCAACATGCCTCTTAGTTCCCCGTGGAAGGACCTAGAAATAAGATAGATACATTTTCAACTTTAAGAAGTAATGCCCAACTGCTTTCGCTAATAAATGTAACAATTTACACACCCAACAGCAATAGATGAGAGTTCCCACTGCTCTATATCTTTGTCAATATTTGGTACTGACAGATTTTTAAAGATCTGATAATCTGTAAGGTGTGAAATAGTATCTAATTGTGGCTTAATTTGCATTTCTCTTATTACTAATGTAATTGAGCATCTTTTCATCTTCATGGGCTGTGTTTCCTGTTTCATGTGTCTTTTCCTAATCTTAATGTAGTTGAATTTATCAGTCTTTTATAGTTAGTACTTTCTAAGTCTTGTTGAAGATTGCTACCAGTTTATCAAAAGTTTGTTTTGTCTTCTTCCTGACACACAGCTAGATTACATTTCACAGCTGCTATTATTAAATGTGGCCAGGTGACTGAGTTCTAACCAATGGAGTGTGAGTAGAGATGATGTGTCCCACTTCTTGGCTTGGCCTATCAAAGCCCTCTCACATCTCCAGGCTCTTTTGTCCCTTCCATTTGACGAGGTTAGAAAACCCCCAGGGGATCTTGGAAGCCATGTATCGAAGATGGTGGGGCTGCCATCACATTGATGGCTTGTAGGAGAACCACCCTGCCAGTCATGTATATCAGCCTTAAACTGTTCACAGGAGTGAAAAATAAACTTCTATTGTGTTTAAGGAACTATACCTTTTTGATTCTATTTGTTAGAGCTGTTATCATTAAGCTAACAGTACGTTTGAGATGTTTTTCATTGATCTGAGATCAGAACAATACCTCCTACGTTTTTTCCCAAAACATGAAGCATTTTGGTAAAGA